ATTTTATTATTTGGACTTAGGTGTGTCGATTTATTATAAGTTGAGATAGTTTTATTTTGTAGGTAGTCAAATAAAAAATAAGGTATTTAATATTGATTTCTAGGCCCCGACTAGGCACCGCCTAGGCGCTCTAGGCGCTAGGCGCTGGTCGAGCGCCTAGCGGGCGCCTAGCGACTTTTAGAACACTGGTTATATGATGATCTAACGGTTATATGATGATCTAACGGTTATAAACCCCGACTGTGGTTCTGTAATGAGACTGTAGCATTTACCCCAAATATCAATTTGAAATAAATAGATTGAACAAACAGTAGGTGTACAGTGTACTATTTACTGGTCCAGACTAAGGAACAGAACTTATATTCCAAAATGGTATTTGATCTTTATTAATGTGTATGGAAATTGGAAATCTCTGTATTTATTTATTTATTTTTTGCATAATGTTTGTGCAATTTGAATGTTTGAACCGACCCATCGCCATTATATCGCAATCGATATCGATATATCCGTTTCGAAGATGGTAGAAAATGATCTTCGGTTCAACATATCAAACGTAGGTTGTTAGTACAACGTGAATTTGTACGTGTTTGCAGGGCTGTAAATCGAGAGGGATTAAGCTCTGCGGAGCATTAGCAGCCGCTGCGCTAATTGCTGCACATTCCACCAAAAACGAGACCGATCAGCTCACAAAGAAGAAATACGGAGTCGTAACTCTGATCGATTGCCGCCCTCATCTCGAACCCGCTCTTTCCCCTAACCATTACGGTAAATCTAACTAAAAAATCGAAACACAAATTTTCTTCAAATATAAAAATATACCTATCCAGGATTCAGTTAAACAGAGAACCACTTGCATAGTATTTTTGAACATGATGAGACACGCTTTAAGTCGATTCCCATGTTTAGGATTCTACCATGCGGCCGTCCTCAACACACACACACTCAAGGGCAGCGAGATCTTCTGGGACTTGGCCTCCCAAACGTACACCGATTTCCTGCGCTACAAGAAATGTAACAAGCATTTTTCGGACATGGCTGACATAAGCTTCCTCATGCGCAAGGCCATGGAGAACCCGACCCTCACGGCATCTTCCTCCCTAAGGACTTCGCTCGTCTCGGTTTTCGAGGACCCTGTGATTGACGACTCGGGACTGATGCGGAAGTCGATTGGGGTGGAGGACTACGTGGGGTGCGCGTCCCT